CATAACCCATACAGACAATAGTGTGGTGAAGGCCTGTGCAGTGGGGGAGATGGGGGAGGGGGTCAATGGGGGAGGACATCTAATACTTTCAATAATAAATAAATTTTAAAAACTACAAAAAGTTTTTGTTTCCTAAAAGATAGCATGATTAATGAAAAGTCATGTTACATAAGATCATGACCCATGTGTTTAGGAAAAAAATGTGTTTTATAACCTTTTTAGTAATTAATACATATTATAAAAATAATAATGGCTTACTCCTTTTCTGTAACATTTATCTAGATGAATTTAAGCGTGCTGTCTATGTGGCTACTGGTCTCAAACTTTCACCACATTTAGTGAACACAGTCTTCAAGATTTTTGATGTTGACAAAGATGATCAATTAAGTTATAAAGAATTTATTGGAATTATGAAAGACAGACTCCATAGAGGATTCCGGGTAAACCTATATATTTCAACCCTATTGATATTATTTTTTTAAACTGAAAGGGAAAAATCCACCTAAGTTTCAGAAACAATTTATATACATTTTTCATTAAGTGTTATACTTGAAAAGAAAAATATAAGGCCCTACCTACTTTCAGAAACAATTTGAAGTTATAAAAGACAATGCTTTTTTAAATATGAAATCAGTTTGAATATTAATAACTTAATTTCATAATCAAGTAGTTCAATGTCTTCATCCCAATTTGTGGGGGCAAAAGTTGCCAAATATTTTTTATTGATTAATCTGCACACTTGCTATCAAACTTGTTAGTATACAAAGGAATACCACTATTTCTCATTTTACATGATGCAGATTTCCACTAGGCAACTGAGATGCTTAAGTCACCGTATATTCAGCACTTTTCATATAGAAAATAAAGTAAAAACATTTTTTGTCTGCTGATTCTTCCTGTTAACAACTTACACTGTAAAATAATATGAAAAATTCAGAGATTTTATTCTCAAGTATGTTTTAAAGAATGAAATATAGCATGAATCAATAAATGTTTAGATATGTAGCATATTTGTAGGTGGTGCCAAAAGTGGGAAAAGAAAAAAAAATTTCTATTAACAGCTAGAATATGCAGATATCCCTCCTTGGTAGGAATACCCCTAAGTATTATACATTTAAAAAGAGGAAAAGTTATATATACAATAAAATCAAGATTCATCATAGACAATGTTTTTAAACATTTTTAAGGATTTTTTTAAATCCAAGCTGTTTTGGTAACGATACTGTGTACTTTACTGCCACCTAGTGGCCAGTCATTAACATTTGAAATTATGGCAAAAGTACCTAAAAGGGCATGTATTGAAAATCATTTATTCTTTCTTCCTCAGAAATTTTAGAGTAGCAATATCAAATTAAAGTATGAACTATGCTATAAACCTCTGATGCTGCATTTTTCTCTTAGATGTTGTGTGTTTTATTTTTTGCTCTATTTATTGCATATTTGTGGCCCCATAACATTTCATTGACTTTTACATTTTTTAATCCTCTGTTCCACAGGGTTATAAAACAGTTCAGAAGTATCCCACTTTCAAATCCTGTCTGAAGAAGGAACTGCATAGCAGATAAGTATGTTAGCTTCTCTGTCTAAATTGTTCAATAACAATAAAGGAAGGGTCATGATTTATTTTTCTGCTGTGACATTTAGGAAATAACTAAGAGAAATACATTTTATTTTTAATTTTTAGGTCACTAATTCAAACTAAGAATTACTCTGTTAATGATTTTACTTTAGTAACTTTATTTTATTTAGTAATTCAGTTGATGAATTAATCATTATAACAAAGAACTACTTTGCCTCTATTAAGTTGTGAAATAAACTGGATTTAAATACTCATCCGATTGGTGTTCTCTTGAAATGTCTTGATTGAAAACGATTCTGTTTAACCTGCAACTTTGTATCTGAGTAGACATAAAATAATAACTTCATATTCGACTATTATAATGTAGAATCATTAACATCTAAGGGATATTTTTTGCTATTTTTTAGGATCATGTTTCCCAATGTCTGCTACAATAATAGAAGCTAATCTTTGTAGAGTTATTTTAGATGCTTGGCACTATATTAGGTGTTCTTCCACCTGTAGACTCTCATTTAATCCTCACAGATATCCCGTTTAACAGCTGAGAAAATACAGTGGGGCCTTGACTTACGAGTGTCCCAACTAACGAGTTGTTCGAGATACGAGCCGTCTCTTGGCCGATTTTTTGCTTTGAGTTGCGAGCTAAAATTCGGGTTACGAGCCAGCTTCAGATACCCCACCGATAG